TACTGATACTACACTCTGCACTTCTTATGCAGATTTTGGAGTTGGTCCCAGCGGCGTACCATAATTTTGCTCGGATTTTAGCTACTCAGAGGAGACTTGAGGTATAACGGCATGGCGTCCGCAGTTCTGAAGTCCCCGTCTATTGTACTTTAGCTGTGTGTTTATTTCCAGACAGATTTATATTATTCAGACCTTTAATTGTATTTATTCTAGAAGCTCGTGCACTTGTGACACCAATTCCGGGATGGTATTTAGACATCGTTATTATTATGGATTATTTCAAAATTGCTTCCGCATTTGCTTCCTTGTTATTAATAAACTTAAAATTATTTTAAAAATGTATAATGTTATTCTAACATTGGCTTGCCTAGAAAGTGAAATCTTAGGCGCCATCACGGTTTTGAAGGTGGGAATTTCGGGTCGTGACATTAGGCTGGCAGAATATTAAAGATGATGACATTTTAACTGATGAATATAGTGATATACAGTAACATATAGACTATCTGCCTAGGAAATGCATATGGTTAGAAACAAAACCATTAAATTTAACCAATGAAATGAAAATGTATAAACAAGTAATATATACATATAATGATCAGTTTTTTAAACATTTCATAAAACAGAAAGCATGCACAACTGCTATAATACAATGAGCATTCTGTATTTGAATAGTAGAAATTGTATCAGAAATAAATACACCTTGTACCAGGCCTAAATACATGATACAATGACTTTAAAAAAAACTTACAGTCATATGTGTAGACATTGCCTCATTCAAATTAAGAATCTTCTGGTATTTGTTTCCAATCATTGTGTACGTGTGTTAAGCTTCTTTCCGATTGCTACAATTCTAACGTCCAAACATCTTCCTAACTTCTTCGAGGAAGTCGTATATTGGTAATTCTCTTGCTGACACAAGTGCGGCATTGATTGACTCATCAATATTTGACGTCATGGTCCATCCCCTGTTAACATGTGCATACAACCTAGCCCAATTTTCGTATCCAGCTAATTCCAAGTATTCTTTCACCCTAATATCTACCTTCTCCATTAGACTATCAAATTCAGCCTGTGTGTATGCTTTTGCCATCGAGAAGTATATCTCACTCAACTTTGAATGACTCTTTTTGAATTTTTTATATATGTTGTTCCATAGATGCCATATGCAAGCAAAATGTGGTACTGTTTGATACACTCTCGATACATATTTGATGATATTCTCATTCCTATCTGAAACGATGCACATGTTTTCCATCTCACCATGTGCTTCCTTGAATTGCTCAAAGAACCACGACCAAGCAACATCGTTCTCTGAATTAATAACACCATATACTAGTGGCAGTATATGACCTGTAAATACAATTGCGTACATATTAAAAATATGTATTTCAATCTCTAATACGCAGTAAAATTAACAAATTTTATTATAATCCCCATACTCACATGCGCCATCCAACGTGCTTACCATTCTAATGTGCGAACCAAGATATTTCATATCCATTGTATAAAGGTACCCTTGTAATTTATTGTATGAATCAGCCGGTTCACCTCTCAAAAAATTCATTGCCTTTTTTTTAGCCCGCCACGCCAACATATAACTAACATCTACACCAAAATCTGATTTCGCATCATAAATTATATCATTTGGGGTGTATTTCCTCTTATGATTAGTAAGCTTGGACCTAATCATACCATCAATAACACTAATACTTGCTTGACGTTGCTCATACACCTTATCCTTCAACGGACATGTATGCTTATCATTGAACTCTCTCACTTTGAACATTTTTGATTTGTTAATGCTAGAAGCCTTAAATCTCAATTCATAATCCTCTGACATACCTAATAATGTATAGTTGCAAATAATGTTTTTGCAATATATATGAGTAGTATAAATGGTTAAAAAATACACTCATATACATGTGAATACATTGTTATATATATATACATTATTATAAAATACACACATATACCTATGAGTACGACTGTAATTATATATATATACATCTAAATACGTATAAATACATGTAAAAACAAAGAACGAAAATCACTGTAATATCTATTTATCAGTAAAATACAGATGAATACATGTATTTGAAATACATAATAATTCATAAGTGTAACAATGAAAGTCATGTAAATACATCCAAACATATCTAAATACATCTAAATACAATTTAAAAATGCTACCATGAATACAATATACAAAAAATTCAAAATACACACACA